ACATTCAGTGTTATCTAATTGGAACCAGAAGGCGTGACAAATAATATAAACAATAGCATATGATATACAAATAATAAATGTGTTTATATAATATAATGTAAAAGAATAAGTACATAAATAATAAAATGTAAATAGTATAAACAAAATAATATTACAAACAAATTCACTTTCTGCAATACTGTATTATCTTTCCACTTAGGGCAGAGATGTTCTGTTTTCCATCTTTTTATGTATTTTGGTGCCTCCACAAGTTATTACAGCCCAGATTGTTTCATGGGTCAGAAAATGGTTCAAAATAGTCTAATTCTGTGTACTGCCTTTCCTAAAATATAGCATTGACTAATAAATTGTCTTATTTTTCTGTTTTAATAAGGGTTGCACTTAAATTGATATGGTTAAAACGAAGTGGTTTGCTGCATTCTCTGTATTGGAGCTTTCCATGGTAAATCCAGTGCTGATGAACTGTATTGCCTGGTGTAATCTTTCTCTTTGTCAGTTATGTAGAGAAGTCTCTGCAGAGTGTGCCATTGTAAAGAAACAGTCCAAATTACATCCTACTCTTCATGAGGATGCACTACCGTGGCTTTAGTAAGGTGTCAGAACTGCAGCTTGTTTGTCCTTCTAGAAAAGTTTGGAAAAGAAGTTTTACAGCCTAGAAACATGTCACTGTTGCAGCACAAACACACAGGCTCAGTCAAGCACTGCCTATCAGAAGGGAATTTGTTTTCTTTCAACAAAAGATTTTCAAACAATCACTCCCTTCTAAAAGATGCCTGTGCCGCCTTTCTTTCTTGATCATTATTGACCACTGATGGAGCTGGCAGTATTCTGCTTGTATTTGTATTGAAAGTAATTTAAAATTTTTGGTTTGGATTGCTGACAATTTTCTCTGGTAATGGTTTTCAGGTACAACTAGCTCCAGCCCCTACCTACATGTATTCCCTCTCTGGTTTTACAGATTTCCATATTTTATCTTTCTCAGTCATGTCTTTTCCAGGCTGAAGATTCATGGTCTCACCTTGTTTGTTACTTGAATGGAGTTGGTTCCATAATTAATCATTCTTGCCATCTTCTATATCTCTTCCACTTGTAATGTATTCTTCTAGAGAAAAGGTACCAAAAGTTAATGTAGTATTCAAGATACAGATGTACCAGAGAGTTTTAGTGTCATAGGATATTTTGTGTTATGTTCTCTCCTGGTTTCCTAATATCCCAGTATATTACATATGTTGGGCTCAGTTTGGTATTGTCCTTCTGTGGCTTTTAGGTTTGGTCTGTTGTACCCTGTAGTGATCCATAGAAGCACGACAACAGTAACATCTTTATAATTATTGCACTTCTATTTCCTGCTAAAGAAAGCATGGAGATACTCTGACTATGAGAACATCCTAAACATGATGTTGTCATACAATGCTGTGAGACTGTGCTTACAGCTGGGACAGTGGGCCAGGCAGCATCCTCTGGGTATCGCTAGTGCAAATGAAGTATGTGGTATGGATATCCATGTGCCCTACACCGCTACGATGTAAGCTCAACCTTGGTAGGACATTCAAACAGTCAAACTAAGAAATTCAGGGTTGTCTCAATGCAGTGGCTGGTTTTATTTACAAAACTGCACTAAAACATGGAACCTCCTGTATTTTGTGGTTTTGTTCTGCACCTTGCTACCCCAGGACAGCAGCAATACTTGTGCCAGGAATTAGTTATCTAGAACAAAACATTTATTGGAAAACTGTTTATCCATTACTATAGCTTGATCCTTTTCTCAGTGTCTTCCATCCACTGTTTGAGTGAAATTGTTAGAAGGCAGGCATAATCAGTAATTTAAAACATCAACTATATTGCTATAAAAATACTCTGCTGTGGTATTTACATATATTTCTTAAAGGTGATTTACATGTCAAGAAAATGCCCTTTTTTCCACCCAAGGATTGGTTTTTTTTGTGTGGTTTTCTTTTTTGTTTGTTTGGTTTTTTTTAAAAAAAAAAAAGGCATAATCACATTCAGCCTCCAGAATATGCAGGACCTGAGGATTGGAGTGGGTTGCAGCTGTCTTCACCCACAGTATTTGGAAATAACTAATGAGTTGAGAAGCCTGCAGCTGGTGGCAAGCACTGTAAATTGTGTGCCTTCTGCTCGCCTCCCTCCTTGGTTTCCTGGAGGACACAGACAGCGAACAAAGGCACCAGGCTGTCTTGTTCAGTGCTATTGCTCTCATGCAGCAGTAATTGAGAGTTAGGGCTGTGTATTGTATGCTGAAGCTATCATACGTGAAGGAATATATTTACTCTTTTTGATGTCTGTAAAAAGGACGTGTGCTTTATTCCAGTAAAATCATAAATAAGTGGGTTTTTACTAAAATTCAGATGACAAATATTGTTATTAGTTGTTCTGCAATTATTATAGTTTGAGTGGACTTACATTTAAGTATTGCTGAATTTAAATGTTAATGTACCGTGCTTATGCTGATTCCTCAAATTGTCCCTGTGAGGTAAGTAAAGTACAATCTTAGCACCTGTGGGAGCACCCTGCTAAAGTTGACTGGCTATTATATGGGTTCTTTAAATAAATGTATTGTTTCTGTTTAGAGGGAGAAATAGGGGAAAATACTATTTTGTGGAAGTCAATAAAACATATTGATTAGCAATGTGATTGAATGTTTTGACTCACTTCGATGTTTCTAGGAAATACTTGCTCAATTCTTCAAGTGTGTATTTGAATACTTAATATGGAAGTTTATCTGAATACCTATTAATGCTTTCTAGATATATTAATTACAGAATGGCCAGAAAAAAATCTATTAAAAGGTTTCTTCAGCCTATTTTCACACATAGTGTAGGTAGGTACTTTAAACGAACAATGAGAAAAAAATTGGGGAGAAGGAAGTATCAGAAAATAACAGCTGATTTTCTGTGAGTGAAAGCAGATTCCTCTGAGAATCCCCCCAGATTTTCCAGGTCCATCTAGCTTGCAAGAAGGGCATTATAAATGTCAAAATGTTTATGAAACCATTAATAACTAATTTGTGTAGCCTTGCTGTGTGAGTTTGGAATTTGAGTCTAGGAAACCTTCGTTCCTCTGTGCTAATGGAAGAATCCAGATTTGAAAACTGGCATGTTACACATGATCTTCAGCTGAAACAATAAATTCCTATAATAGCTCCTCAGTTGTATAAGCACTAGTATGATCTGTTGAATTCAAGTTACATGAGTTAAACATGAAAAATAGGGAAATGGAGTTGTTTTGGAAGGGCTGAGGAAAGTTGATTGGAATTCTTTTGTGTGGATTGCTTTTCCCAGATTCGTTTGGGATTTTCCCAGTGAATAAATACGGAGAATAACTATGAAATCCCTTCAGAACAATGGGAAAGGGAAATACTTTTGCACAGTTCATAATTCATTAGTCACTAATTACCACAGGGTGCAACTGAGGCCAAGAATAAAAGTGGAGAGGAATACGCAGTTATATGATCCTCTATAAACAGAAGAGTTTATATCCTTTCCAGAAAAAAACAAAACAAAAACCAAAAAACAACAACAACAACAAAAAAACAGAATAGGGAAGACCAAACTGTTCACTGCTTGGAGTGGTAGCTCTGTCTTGTGTTATTTGTGTCCTTCCATGAAGCGTCTGTTACTGGCCACTAAGACAGAATATCAGATTAGAGTGGTCTCCTGTATAACTCCGTCTGACAATTCCTGCTCTATAATGTTACAGCGTGCGGGTTTATTTTACATGTGCTTAGGTTCATGCCTTTGTCTACAAGAACTTTATAAGTCACCTAGGGAAAACAGTTCTCCAAAGCACACTACTTCTCCAGTGGAGATGTGATTAAATAATTTCAGTATGCCTCAGAAGAAACATCCATATTTCAGTTTTAATATTCAGAGAGCCGTTTTTTTTTAATTTACGTCTATTTTGCTGCTGATAGTAGTTAATTTTGAATACAGGGGGATGCATTAGAAAGGTGGAGGTTTAGTTTTAATTCATCTTAGAAGCAGTTTACAAATGTGATTCCTTGTGACAACTCTCTGATGGCAGGAGTTGGGGGGGAAAGCTAGTAGCTACTTTTCTGGTGGTATTTCTTTCACTCCGCGTTCTGCCAATTTTATCCTCATTGAAGTTTTTAAAAATGAGACCTTAAACTGTGCTAAACTTTCCTGGGCTTTTCTGTAGCACCCGCCAAGCATTTGTTCTACTTTAAAGCAATTTAAACTTTTACAGCTCTTGGGTGTAATGGTATTCTTAGGTTGATGGTTTTTGTACATTGTGTAAACCTTATTTCTTCTCAGTTACTGAGGTCAGAGTTTTTAATCCTTTCCTAATTTCCAAAGTATCATCTTTACCAACTAATCGCACCCCTCATCAGAAAAACTAAGTAAATCTATACATTGGAAGCATTTGTCATTTTCAATTCTATTGATATTAGCTTTTTTCCCCACTGTATATGACTTGGTAAGCAGTGATGTCTGTTGTAAAGCAGCGCCACGGATGCTGCCTTGTGCCCTCTCAGTGCTTAGCCTGGTGATGTCTCACATACTGCCATTAGGCAGTTTGTAATTTGGGAAGTTAGCTCACTTATGCCTTCTTCCCTTTCTGTTCTGCACATTCTCAGGAGTGGACATATGTTGCAGCTTGAAAAATGTTAGCACACCACTTTCTGTATTATTGCTTTCTCTTCCCCTCCAAAGTTTACAAAGCCAATAGGATAATGCGTATGTCACACAGTGTGCAGCACAAGAAAATTCTGACCTAGAAGGCAGCCCTGGCGTGCTATCGTCGTATAAACAGATAATGAGCACCACTGGTGATCTGCCGTGAATGAGCAGGTTTGATGGTGTGTTCAACACAAACTTAAGTCAGCCTAACAAATGTGCTCCTCCTGCCCTGCTCCGGACTGCTCAGGAGAATCAATTTGGTAGTCTTGAATGGAAGCTTAATACGGTGGGGCATAGAATCTGCCTTTTTTCTGACTCTTGGGGGTTTTTTTTATATTATAGGACTACAAAGCTGATGAAGACCCTGCGTTATTCCAGTCGGTTAAGACGAAGAGAGGACCTTTGGGGCCAAATTGGAAGGTACTAAGAACTGATGTTATGACCTTATGAAATCTTTACCCGCAGAAAAAAGAAGTTCATGTTCCTTAGAGACTAGTACTAGCAATGTTAGTCTTAAAACAGAAGTCAGAAATCGAATACTTTACTTTTTTTGTATTCAGTTAAAATTCCAAATGTGTTAGTAAGCAAAAGCACTGTCTGCTACTTGTTTAACATCACTACTAAATCCAAAGCTATGCAAATTAAATTGGGTTAACTTTATCCTTACTCAAGATTGACATCTGAATATACACTATGATGAATTCCATGGAAGTCATCAGCCTGCTGTGGTAGCCACTGGAGGTGACTTAAAATGCAAAAAAAAAAAAAAATAGTTGTAAACTTCCTTGTATTTAAATGATTACAACTGTGTATTTCTTAGAGCAGGGTAAAAGATAGAACATGTGTATGTTTTACTTAGAATTACCAAAAAGCTAGCAGAAGAGGGTGGCTACTAAACCTAAGCCTGTCTTCACCTTGCCATATTGAATGTCTGGGTATTTTTCACTTGTTTGGAGTGTATACAAAATGCACATGAAAACCTCCAGTATTTCATCATAAGTATTTTCCCCTGGTGAGGTGATACACTGTGTTTGCATTTGTGCATCTGTGTGTGCACGCATGCACAGATGCATCTACCATGTTCTTGAAATTTTCAGTCTGGTGTATGTAATCTTAGTTGTGTTGGGAAATCAATTTTCCACATTCTTTGGTCGTTTACCAATTCTTACGTACTGTCAACGACTACGGTGTGAAAGCTTAGCACTTAGTCACATCCAGTATGAATTTGCTCTGCTTACGTACTCAACTACAGGAAAAGTCATGCTTGAGAACTGGCTCCTTAGTAGGCAGCATAAGTACTGGTGCAGTGTCAATGTCAGAATATGTATGTCTTGCCCATATGTACTTTTAATGCCTGTATACTTTGCTTAACAATTAGCCTAAACAGTTGGTGCAAACACAAAGATGATCCTATCTTGAAATAACTTCGTAGAGTCTGTTGCCTGAGGTCCTCTTCCATTTCCTCCAGAATCTTGCTTGACTCAATTCAGAAACAAATTTCCTGTGGACCAGCATATACCACATGGAACCCAACGACACCTGAACAGCAATGTAAAACTCGCCAGTGCATCCCTACCTCAGTTACAAAGCATGTCCTTCCACAGACAGCCATCAAAGTTCATATATATGTGCCCATCCTAGAAAGAAATGTACTTTGTCTGCTACACCAGATATACTCGTAGAAACTGAGAAGCTAACTGCTGTATACTAGAATAAATATACAGGCAATCTTTCAGGAATAGGCCCCTAGTTCCTGATCAGAATATTTTTTTTTCACTTTTGTCATTACCATATATTAAATATTTCATTGACAGTAGCATAATTTTGCTTCTTGTGTTTAGTGTGTACTGTGATAAATTATGCTTACGTAAATGCTGAGGTTATTTTTTTAACATATTGCAAATGGTGTCTCACTTCTTAAATTTTCTTGTAAAAGCAGTCAGTCTTTCATTACTGAAAAAAGTTCTAAATACGGGGTGAATGTTTCTGTTGAAATACAGTGTGAAGGACTTGCTCTGAGAGGTGTGAATTTTCTTCTAGTTCATTACTTTAGATGTTACCATTAGTTATTTTACCACTAGTTTTTGCAAAGCAGCAAGGTAAGTGTCAGATATTAGAGTAGGATGCATTGGACCAGCAAGCATTTGGTCTCTAATTTCCCATCCTAAAACGTGGTTGTGCAAGCAGAAGTAGGCAAAAGATACACCGCCTTGCTGCTATCAGAAGCTCGACCTGTGTCTTAAGTGTCAAACAACTGACCACTATGTCTGACAGAGCAGAGTCCCCGTTTCCCACTACATGGTACCACACTCGTTCTCAGCTGGCTTGAGGTCATAAATGGAAGCAGCCTGAATTTGAGGACTTAACGTGTCTCTTGTCCCACTGTGGAAGGAGGCGGTAGTTCCAGGGGCACGTTTGTGCAGCGCTGACCATTCACTCCTCTACTTTCATATGTGCTGGTACAGTGGTTTTAATGGCTGTGTGGCAATTAACCTG